ATGGATTACATAATCTGAGAATATTTGTTTTCCATTTGAATTGGTTCATTTGAAAGTAGACATTTCACTCTCTATAAATATATTTTTAATGTCTGTAAGGCAAAAGATATACACCTGAGTTTCGCGCTCAAGTTCACAGACCGAGACGGCAGAAAGCACATCCTGTTTGCTTTCATTATTTTACAAAAGTGCGGTTTGTTGTTATTGTGAGTGCACACAAATAAATGTAGAGTCTTTGCAGATTTGAAAGATGTATTACTCTTATCTGTATGACCAAAAATGACGGGGTATTTTAAGAGCAAGTGAGCGCACCAGCACCTCCATCTGTCCTGCAGTGAGCGCGCTGCTGTTCATCTTCCGCACAGACACTTGAACAGCGGACATTTCTCTAGGTTAACATTAGATTGAGAGGCCATGTAACGTTGCTGCTACTTACAAGTTTCAGATAAGCCATATTTGTGGTGGATGAATGATAGGCGAGCATTTGGATGTCCTGCCGGATGTACTGTATTACCATAGACCAGCCGTTAACGACCTGCGTGACTTCGCCAATGTGTGTTTTTTTTTTTTCTGCAACTAATAAAATTTTGGTCGACCAAGCCTCTTCTGGTCGACTAACAATTAGTCGACTATTAGGGGGCAGCCCTAGTATTTATAAATAAGTGCTGAGTGCTATGCTTAGCTGTTAGACAGTTTTCACCATGGAAATCTGGTGTGTGATTTGTCATTGAAGCAACCCATCGCCTTGTGCTGGTCTGAAGAGATGAGGGACGAGGAGGGAGAATCTGTTAGAAATGTATGTGGTAGGTGTGTGGTGAATAAGATTCTGTTAGACTGTGGGGGGAGTGCAGTGGGGGGAGTTGACTGACGGGCTCAGGCTTATCGGAGGAGCACACTAATTGGAGGTCATCCGCATGAATTAAAAAAACAGTCAATTACTGCACAAGAAAAGAGCCGATCATCTCTCATTCCCTCCTGCTTGCTGCCACCCTGTTTAGATGCCTAGTACATATGTGTGGGGGGTTCAAAAAGTACACCGTCTATCCTCTCAGCCAATCAGCGCACGGACAGCACCCCTTGATGAAATGTTTGTGTTATGGTGACTCCTCACAGGCCCTGCTGTGTAGACTGGATCATTACGCCTGATTGGTCGTTACTGAGATTCTGAGACAGGAAGCACAGCGGTGCTATCGACTGTTGTGCCTGCACCCCTCTGCGTGTCTGTGTGTCACATGCAAACACACACACCTGCTAGAGTAATTGTGGCAATAAACATAGCGACAATCACTCGGCCCACTGTTTTGTTTCCTCAGAGATGTAGATTTTTTTTTACAGTTAACATTGAATAGAAGTAGAATGAGTTTTTAAAACATTACATGAAATATATAACATGTTTTAAACTCACCCTTAACTATTGTATTTGTAGGATGGGTAGAATTTAAGTCTAAAAGCAGGATGGATGGATGGAGGATGTTCAGACGCAGTCGGCTTGTCTGTATGGCTTTTACTCTGGATGATTAAAAGGGGAACTCTCTCCGCAGGAGTGAACTGGACCGGGGCCAGTTGAGTGACATGAGCCAGGGCTAATCATATTTCACGCTTGTCACGCGGTTAAGTGGTATTATTGGCTGTCATTATTCGCATTGAATGAGAAAAGAGAGCTCCAGGAAGCTGCCACCTGCTTTTAGGGATTCATATTGTGTTAAAGAGGTTATCAAACTCCCTTCCACTGGCCTTGCTATAAAGCACAAGGGTATTTGTGCCTGTTTGTCTGAGCTGGTCTGAATATTACACTATGATAAAGCAGCTCCCACCAGTCCAGTTATCTCAGAGATTAATTCTGTGTGGACACACAGCTAATGCTCCAAAGTGACACTGGCCAGTTTACTTTTTTTTTTCAATTTGAGCAATATTTTAACCTATATTCATGCTTTTCTACTTGGTTATCATGTTTTTAACATCTGGTCTACTGATGAATGTCAAAATTTGGTGGGTTTCTGTAGAAAGTAATTTATTATATTGTTTGCAATACATTACTAAACTCATTTTCATGTTATGAATGATCAAAACATAAATCATAAATAGAATGGCATAATATTATTATTTACATTTTTAGTGTTTAGTTTATTATTCATATTTATCATCATATAAACTACCGTTTGGGGTCAATAAGGATGCATGTATAGACATCTATAATGTTACAAAAAATGTCTATTTCAAATAAATGCTGTTCTTATGAAATTGCTATTCATCAAAGAATCCTGAAAATTTTTTTTATCATAGTGTCTGCAATTAAGCAGCACAACTGTTTTTAACATTGATTACAAAAAGAAATTGTTCTTGAGCGTAAAATCAGCAAATTAGAATGATTTCTGAAGGATTATGTGACACTAAAGACTGGAGTAATTATGCTGAAAATTCAGCATTACATCACAGGAATAAATTACATGTGACAATATATTTAAATAGAAAACTAGTTATTTTACATTGTAATAATATTTCACAATTTTCAAATACAGATTATATGAGATCTTATGAGACTTTATAATAAATATATATCATATATGTACTTTAAAAATTCGTTAAAATAACTCAATTTACTCGCCGTTGACAAGTGTGGCAAAAAGTGAATATTGGAGCCTGTGTGCACATGTCAGGAAGATCGTACCCAAGTGCCGGTGTAACTGCCAACCATTTGCAAGCTGGTCGAAACATACCCGAGAGAAACGCAGTGGCAGCCTCGGCCCAGTATCTGCACTTCAAAAGCCTGACTGCTGCAGCCGTTTCCTGAGCAGAGGCAAGCAAATAGTATATTCAGCACATCACGGCGCATAAGAGACCTATCCACCGCAGCGCCCGCGCGCACACTCACACATTTTATGGAGATTACACTGGGAGCGCTCTCATCTGTCATTCAAACACCTTTCCTGAAAGACCAGTGAAGGAGGGAATGGCAAGAAAAACTGTGAGTGTGTGTGTGTGTTTCGAGCTTTTTAGCAGAGCTGGCAGGCATTAGTCCGGCCTTCCTCTCCCTGCATGAATACTCTTTATACTCTAATAAATATGCTGCTGTCTCTGCCATGCTCACCCCTACACACATTCGATGTCTCTTTTTCTGCCTTTCTCTCACTCTCTGGCTTATTCTTCCATCCCTCTTTCTTTCTGCCCCTCTCCCTTTCCTTAACACCCAGCTTTCTTTTATCTTCCTCGCTCTCACATCTTCTCATCCAGTATCTTCCACTGATAATTTCACCATCCCCCCATCCTCCTCTCCCTTCCTCCATCGATGTTCAGTGCCCCTGACTCTGACCTGCTTCCCACTGCCCTCATCCCCTAACTCACTTCGCATCACCCCCTCCCTCTTTTCATCCAATCTCTATCCCTCCTTCTCCAACTGGCCTGTGCCCTCTCCTCTACATCCAATCCATCCTGTCCTCTCTCTTTTTCTTCCCTCTGTCTCTGTTTTTCCTTTTGGCACTGTACGTTGACCCCAATTCTGCCCTCGCTGTTGTTTCCCCCTATAGCTGTGTGTAGGCATTACAACTGTACACGCACGTCTTTTTTTTTTTGTTGCTGTTTCTTATTTTCACAGTTCTTTATATCTAGATTTGCCGTATTAGTTTGCTGAGGTATCTGTTTGTATGTGCAAGATTATTTTTTGGTCAGTCATGTTTTTTCTTATTATTTGTAAATTCAAACTCAGTGAAAATGTATTATAGCTTATATTTATATTAAATGCAGTTAATTGAACTTAACAGTGATTTTTGACCCACTTAGGTAAATTTAAGTACATATTTATGTAATTTCATAATTACTTCTATTGTCTTTGAAATAAGGTTAAAGTGCCCAAATGTACTGACAAGCATTTATAGTAAAATGCACTTTCATGTCATTTCTGTTGAAACTTGCACTGTATGCCATGAATAGAAAAATATTTGTAATTGCACATTTTTATAATGAAGTTGCAATTTAGTACATTTAAAATATATTAACTGTATATTAAAATATATGAATATTATATTAACATTATATTGAATAGCACACTACAATTAAAATTATTATGAAGTACTTTACATTACAAAATGCACTTGTGTGTTAACAAACAGTCATGAAAGTTTGCTCTATTTAAGTACACTTAATTTGCCTTTTATTGTATTAATATTATATTACCTGCAAGCACAGTTTTTTTTTAAATATAGGCCTACTTGATATAAAGTAGACTACAATACACATTCGATTCAGTTAAGCACACTTTTATGGCAATATAATGCATTATATTGAAAAAAAGTAGAATGGCAACAAATGAGATATACATGTCATTTCTGAAAGGAACACTTCTTCTTTTTCTCAAAATTCACAAAATGTATTGCACTTGTATATCTGGGTTGTGTATTTAAGCACAGGGGTGTATGTTTGTCTGTTTGTCCGTGTGTCTGAGTGTGTGTGTGGTGCTTTATTCAGCTCTGCTGTGGTATAGATCTCTTCATGAACTAATTTCCATACATCCAGCTCTTCAAAATGGACAGTACTGAACACCACATACATCAATGTAAAATACTTTCTTCTGTTCCAGTATTACTATAAGTAAACTATTCATTGCTTCATTGCCCTAAGCACTGTTGCTCTGTGGCACTTTCAACATTGTTTTGTTTGTTTGGGAACCAAAACTTATAGCAGCTCAACTATGTTTTGGGGCATAATTGCCTGCTTTTCTGACCAATAATCTGGGAATGTTTAGGAAATTGAAAATTAGTTTGGGAAATTGTCATTATGTTTTAGAGCTAGAAATTACATGCTGCACCTTTAAGAATAATCAAACTGTATGTTGTTGGAAAAGTACAGTGTTGTCTGTTGTAAAACTAATTTTTCGCTGTGTATTGTGTATGTTTTAGATGATTCATCTTCTGAAAGTGGGAGTGGCAATGGGATTCACACACTGACTCCTCCCTCGGTAGGTGTGGCCGGAGTGAGTGACAGTACGGGGACGGGACCCGGATCAGGCTCATACGCTGAGGTTAACGGCAACGGAAACGGTACCGCAGCGCCACTCGACTTCAGCACGACTTCCTCGTCCTCATCCTCAGAGGACCAGCAACCAGTCAACCTCAGTGACAGACTGAGTCAGGCCCTGCCTAGTGCTGCCTCCATGCTGGCGACCTTTAACCCTGAGCACGCAGAGGAGCTGCGCAGAAAATATCCCAAATCCTCAGAGCTACGCCTTGAACGAGATATCAGGGACTATAATAACAAGGTATATATATAATCATTTAGGACCATAAAAATGCTGAATGCTACTTACAATTGTCACAATACCAAAATTTCAGTAGTCAATGCCAGTAGCAATAAAATTTCACTGGTATCGTTACTTTTTAAAAAAACATTTTTTATTTAGTTTAGTATCAACTTGGAATTAAGTACCTGACTTTATAAGATACTTATTTGCTAATCTTGCTACTGGTAATGCCTGTAGATTTTTCCTTCACCCTTGTACACAACAGATTCATTTGTTTTGAGTGTACAATGCGAGTTGAACCCACAGATGCAAAGGCTCTCAATCAAACCTCATTCATTCAGTTAGCTAGCGTGGCACAGGAGCGTTTTTCATTCAGACAGATGCAGAGAGGTTTGAACAACATGCCGAGCAAGGCTCCGGTCTGAATAGAAACTTTCATTTCATTCCTCTTTTCCATGGTCGGCATCTGTTGCTTCCCGTCTCCTTTCCTTTGTATTGTCTTTGTGAAAAGAAGAGCGCAACACTATCTTTCAAATGAACAGATTCACGATCTCAAATGCAGCCCAAGACTCTCGGTACCGAGAATGTCTGAATAACACTGTTAGACCTTGAAGCCGTGGTTTTCATCAGCCGAAGCACCGTCGGTGGCCATGAATGGTCTAATTGATAGACTTCATCTTTTTGATACATCTTTCAGTCTGTGTCCTCCTTTGAAAGTCTTTTCTGATTGTCAATACGCTCTTGCAGACAGAAGGCTTACCTTGGTTTCTTTGTGTGTTTTTGCAGTCTCCTCAATACAGTTCAGGCAGCTATGATTCAATAAAGATGGAGATATGCCCTGAAGATCTGACTGTTGGTCGGCCTCCGGCGGCTGACGATGATGACGATGACCATGATGACCACGACGATAGTGATAAGATCAATGATGTAGAAGGAGTGGATCCAGAGAGGTTGAAGGCTTTTAACGTGAGTATAAGGACATTCAACTCATGATTTTCTACTTCATAAAAAGAGCTGTAAACCATGTGGTCTGGCATGGCTTTTTATTTGTAAGTCAAATTAGAATTCCTCAATACGTGTTGTATGAGTGGATTTCACTCACACCTCATACTTAGGTGAAGTAATTAATTTCTCTCTCTTTTTCTAGATGTTTGTGCGTCTCTTTGTGGATGAGAACCTGGACCGTATGGTGCCAATCTCTAAACAGCCTAAAGAGAAGATCCAGGCCATTATCGAGTCCTGCAGCCGTCAGTTCCCAGAGTTCCAGGAACGCGCTCGCAAACGCATTCGTACCTACCTCAAATCCTGTCGCCGTATGAAGAAGAATGGCATGGAGGTACACGCTGACACATTGAGCCCATTCTGCTTTTTGTAATGGTTAGATGACTTATATTGCCCCCTTGTGGTCAACACAGTACAGATACTGAGAAATACAGTTTTGTTTAGTGATGAAGGCAAAAATTCTAAATTAATATTGATGGAGTTGCAATTTTAAATTAAATTGACCGCGCTCCAAAATTAAAATGGCTGTAACTTTCATTGTAAAGTGTAAAGCTGAAATTCAGAGAAGGGAATTTAATTTGTCCAAAACAACTTTTTCTACAAAGCAGAAATAATTACATAACTAATTTAGGCAAATTTTGTTCATGTATTCGTCGATATGCAGATTAATAGTTTTCATATTAGACACATTTCTGTAAATTAAGTTCAAAACTGTCAAAACTATTAACAATGTTTCTATATAAGACAAAATGTCTTTTTTTCTATATATATATATTTTTTTTTTTTTATATTTCTTGTATATTTTTTTATATTCTACTTTATTTAACAAGGACAGAGTAAACTGATTAAAAGTGACAGTAAAGACATTTATAATTTTACAAAATATTTCTGTTTCAATTGTTCTTTCTTTTCAATTTGTTGAAGAATCCTGAAAAACAATTATCACAGTTTCTACAAACATATCAAGCACCACAACTGATTTCAACATTGATAACAAAAAGAAATGTTTCTTAAACATCAAATCAGCATATTAGAATGATTTCTGAAGGATCATGTGACACTGAAGACTGGAGTAATGATGCTGAAAATTCAGCTTTGACATCACAGGAGTAAATTACATTTTAAAATATATTCAAATATAACAGTTATCTTAATAATATTTGATAATATTATTGTTTTTGATTCAATAAATGGAGCCTTAGTGAGCACGAGACTTCTTTCAAAAACATTAAAAACTTGAATGGTAGTGTATAAAATGTTACATATAAAAGGCGATTCTGAGAAATGAAGTGTTCTTTCACCATGACCCATAAAATTAGTCAATAATAGTTAATATATTAAATGTACTGTGTGTGTATTAGCAGACTCGACCCACACCACCCCACCTGACCTCAGCCCTGGCTGAGAACATTCTAGCAGCCGCCTGTGAGAGTGAATCACGCAAAGCTGCCAAAAGAATGCGCATGGATGTCTACCAGGCACACGTAAGTAGCGTTGTATAAGTGTATGTGAAGCTTGTGAAACTGTCTTGGTGTCTCTGTTTATTTTAAAACCAAGTTAGCCTCATATATTCATCTCTCTCTCAGGATGAGCCGTTATCTCTGGATAAGGCGGTCTCTCGTGAGCCGGTCTCGCTGACCCACTCTGCATACTCCCTTGCTGCCTCAGCCTACTCCCAGGACCAGCTATACATTAATGGAGGCCTCAACTACAGTTATCGTGGTTATGGCGGACTGTGTGCCAGCATGCAACACCCCGTGTCACTGACAACAGCTATCGCCCAGACCAACGGTGAGAGAGGAAGCTGGCAGCATCCTAACTGAAGTTTGCTTTCTCACACAATTGCCTTATCTGTGAAAGGATACAGGATACAAGCAAAGTTGCCTTAAAATGTGATTTACAAAGTAAATTACAACATATAAGGGCTAGGATGCACTAAAAAGTGCTTCTCAACCAACCAACTAGAGGGCCAAGGGGGCTGCAGGATGACTTAAAATGAGTTAAATTCTTATCAATGCTATTAATAATATTCTTTTTGATATATTGAAACATTCTAACATTCTAAAACTTTGATGTAATTAAAATTTTAAAAAACATACTAATGCTATAAAAACAAACAATTAGGATGTAAACTGAAATCATATTGCTTTCTTCCCCTCCATAACTACTGGTTTTATTAAAGAACTTACTGTGTACATACTGAATTTTGGTTAATTAATTGAACCATATTGCCAGTTTCTATTAATAACATAATACAATTAATAAATTATATACGTGAAGTTCTGTTAATATTATATTATGTAGAGGTTTGTTAAATATTGTGTTGGACAGTGGGGCCTTCGAGTCAAAACCACTGCTTTAAAATAATGTCTAAGTAGACAGTCAACTAGGTTTTTGACAGATCTACTGGGGCTTGGTAAATTTTTTCAGTTTTTGTTCAATTTAATGTGGACATATTTCATATACAGGAAAACTTTTAACTTGGTAAATTACAAACAAATGAATTTTAAAATGCAATAACTGGGCCCAAATTATGCTGTGCAATTGCTACATATTTAATGTATATATAATCAATACAACCAAAAACTGCTGCAAAAACTGCTGAAGTAATCTTAAATTGCATTTCTCATGTAAAACTGTTTATTTTTTATGCTTAAAGTTATAATAAAATCTTTTTGAATTCATTAAAGGACTGACTCTTAAGAGTCATTTGTTCGTGAATCAGGCTGCACTGCATGTTTCTGAGTCACTAAAAAACTGGTTTAAAAGATTAATTTTTGTCCCAAGGATTGGACTACACTGGTCATGTTGTATGTGATTGCGTGCAGCCCACAAGAGTGTGCCATTATTTTCTGTTACACACTTATTTGTAACTGACTTCATTCTTATGGCACTGTTGATTGGAGTAGAGTGAAAGAGCAATCTTGTGTTTTTAAGAATTTTTATCCTCTCTTAAGAGCTACCGTGTCTGTGTTCTTAGTTGTTTTTATGTCTGTAATTATATTTTTGTCCTCTCCGTTCAGGGCCTACTGATCTCAGTATGAAGTCTCTGGCCTCAAATTCGTCCTCGTCAAGCTCCAGTAGTCTCGGCAGGAATGGAGGAGGAGGCGGGGCTTCAGCTCAGCTCAGCCATACAGAAGTGGCGGCAGTGCGTCAGCTGATCGCAGGATACCGTGAGTCTGCGGCCTTCCTGCTACGATCGGCAGATGAGCTGGAGAACCTCATACTACAACAGAACTGAACCAATTCTCAACACTCTCTGTCTAAACACATACCCTCGTCCCTCACATGATCCTCATCAGAGGTTTTCCGGTCACTGAGGAAAACCATCTGGCTCTTAAAGATGTTAGAAGAGAGAGAAAACAGCTTCATCAAGCTTTTGCTTTCATATCATTTCAACGAGAATGGCCGAGAGATGGAGATGAATCTCTGAAGGACACTTTGGTGCAGAAGCGGACGGTTCGATGCATCCTCCACATACTGCTCCTGCATTTCATGCCTTCTCCATGGCCTCCCTCTGTTTAACCTCCATTCGTTCCCTGCTGAGAGCCATCGATTTCTGATTTTCTTTGTTTTTAGCTACTTCAAAGGAGGAATTACGGAACGTCAATCCTCCAGACGGCACTAACTAAATGAAGACACTTTTGATTTGGAGGCGTAATGGAAAGAAAGAAGATAAGAAAAGCAAGAAGAAACTAATAGACCTTTGTATTTGCTGTAAATAAGCACTCGCAGTGTCCTGAAGCACTTTTCCATTCATTCTGACCTCTGAATCATTAATTTATGCATATAGATACGCAGGTGGAAGCTCACCTGGAAATACCTCAGCCTGTCTGTCCTGCTCTTGCTCTCTCCCATCATTCCCCTCTCTGTGTGTGGGAGAAGAAAATTATCACCTGTCCGTCCTCGACTTCGCAGTTCACTGATTTGGGCATCGAAAGCAGAGAGTGGGAGTGAATTTGTCATTTCTGTAATTGAACTACGGATTTTCTTTTCCACCTCCTCCAAATGTGTTGTACTGTATATATTCCGATCCATTTCAAGGTACTGATGGCAAAAATACACTGGACTTGTTTTGGGAATGGACCTTTCCTGATGCATTTAAACACTTCAGTCTCACAGATGCCAACTCTTTGTTTCCTCTCTACGGGTCACCCTCTATTCTCCTCTTCTCTATGTGTCCTTCCATTTCTCCTGTACGTCCTCTCTTCTCCTCCACCTTATTATTCTGCTTTGGAGGGAGATGGAGAGAAAGGATCCGGAATGGAAGCTTGTTAGTCTTGTATCTGTTGATTTTTCTTAATGGCCATTAATCCACTCTGCTGCTATGGACTCCAACGTAACGCCACAGACCTGAAACCTCAAGCCTCCCAAACACAACCAGAGCACCTCAAGGCAAAAAAAAACAAGGCAAAAAAAGTCCGAAACGGAAGCCAAATCCAAAAGAAATATTTTAAAAAACTGCCGTTTTGCATTCCGGTCAAGAGTGTTTGATTTCATACTGAGGGCTGCTTGTGTTTGCTTTTGTTTGATTTGTTCTAAAAGTGCGGTGTGTGCTTAAATCTCAAGATCAACTGGGATCAAATCGTCTTTGGCACAAGAGCTTGGCGCATACACGAACACACGTATGACACGAACAGACACGCTAAAGGGTCTTTAGTGAACTGAATATTTAACAGGAGAGGTTTAAAATGTGTAGTTAGTAAGGTAGATTTGTTTAGGGACTGACTGACAGTAATGTCACTGTAATTTGCTCCATTTGCACACAGAGGCAGCGCTAATCTGTGATTGAGGAGCTCGGCGCCGGCTCCGTGTTGTACTGCTAGTGGGGGATGGAGAAAGAATATCACAATGCAGAAGATAATCAAACGCATTTATGGCCCTAAAGGAGACAGACTAGTACAGAGAGGCTACCACGACATGACCCCTGCTGAGGAGCCTTCAGAATCATTCATAATCACGTGACCGGGACCTACTTATGATCGAAAGCCATGATGATGTGTGAGTGTGACCAGAGACTACACTGCCCTCTTAAGACAAGTTTGTGTGCAATTTTGACACCCCTGACATGTAGAAGTAATGATTTCTTGATGTGTTATATTTATGGTAGGCCTTCACAGTCCAGCCTCCTACTTGGATATTGAGTTGTTGATTAGAATTGCTATAGACATGAAGACATATGCAAAATTGACAGCGTGAGGCCTCTCCTCACTGTGTTTAACATCGCTCTGATCACAAAAGGGTCCTTGACCTCTCTCATCTGTAACTGTCTTCGCTGTTTCTTTTATTTCAGGAGAGAACTTACAGTAATAAGGAAATAAGGGGAGATATATAAATTAGTGCTGTCAAACGATTAATCGCGATTAATCGCATCCAAAATAAAAGTTTTTGTTTACATGTGTGTGTGTACGGTGTATATTTATTATGTATATATAAATACACACTCATACAGTATATATTATATATATAAATACACACACATACAGTATATATTTTGAAAATATTTACATGTATATACATTTATATATTTATATTTTATAATATATATAAATATATTTAATATATAAACAAACATATTTTTCTTAAATGTATACATGCATGTGTTTGTATTTATACATACATAAATATGCACAGATATATTATGTAAACAAAAACTTTTATTTTGGATGCGATTAATCGTGATTCATCGCTTGACAGCACTAATAAATATTTAATAATATTGAAACTTTAAAATTGTTTAAATATTTTTACATATTTAAAAATGTTACATTTCCTAAGTTTAACACCAAAATAAATAAAATAAGAAACCTTAATGAACTTTAGGTTCATTACAAACTCAGTCATTTAAAATGGAAATGATGTAGTTTACAGTAAAAATACTGTAATACATATTTATTACAGTATGTATAACACATAAATGTAATACATTTATTTTTGATATTTTTTAATTCAATTGACAAATTAGAAGTACAAACCACTGAGATGTTTAAGTACTGTATTTTTTCTTTTTATTTGCATTATGCTAATTAAAATTGGGGATAAATATGCTTAAGTCATATAACAAAAAATAACTAGAACAAATTACAAAAAAAAAAATTTGTCCAAAAATAGTTTTCACAAAATACAATTTCAGAATTTTGTCTTTTGATTTTTGCAGTGAAATTTGACCTAGACATGTTTCTGACAAATTTGACCTGCACATTCATTGGGTCCTCTCTTCTTATTTTCTATGCTGTTGCCATTTCTGTTCATCTCTCTCTGTCTCACCTGCTTTTCTTTTCTACATTGTCCGCAGTAGACAGATGTTGAGAGGTCAGGTAAAAGAGAATTCTAGCTGCTGTCTCGGTCATCTGTCTTTCTCTCGTTGAGGTCTGATATGGGTCCCACTGCCGTCTGATTATACGCCAACCTCACATGCTACTGAGCTCTTCTATGGGTTTCTAAAACCGTACAATGGAGATGGAACTGCAAACCGCATCTGTGTGGAAAGAAGCCGAAAAAAGCGAAGCGTTCATCTGTTCATAAGGTGTTTCTTCTCTCCAGTTCACTCAAGGACAGCTACCGAAAAACAAACTGTAAAACAAGGCAAACGACAATCTTGAAAAAGGTGTAACTCGTTCACAGTTTTGTTCCCATGCTCTGTGTTCCGTGTGCAGTCGTACAGCGCAGTGTCCTGGGAGAGTGAGGGCTATTCTAGCCATAATCAGAGCATCTCTCACTCTCGGTTCTCACGCTAGCCGCTGAAGACGCCTTGTGGCCCACTGTCGAAAACCTTTTTATCTGATTCCTATTTTTATTATAATTATCTCGATTACTATTCTTTTCTAATTCTTTTTGTATGGCAAGTGGTCTTTTCAGAACCGTTTTGTACCGACATCACATGTGAAGTTTGTCCTGTATGCCTATAACATTCCAAACAAGGATGTCAACATGCCAAGCAGCCAGCCAAACCACGGTCACATCGGATTGCAGATACACACACCGAGGGCAAAATCAATCCCACGCCGCATGGGCTTTAAAGTGTTAGTTATGTCGAGAGCCTGATGCCTGATTTCCCTTGCGCCACAAACCCTCAAAGAACTGTTATCTCTGTACTGTATGACTGAGATGTTTGGGAAACTTTTTTTTCTGATTAGTTATGCGCCGTGCCTTTAAAGGGGCTTAACCGAACTGATTGTTATATACGTATGTCCCTTTATTTTATTAGAAACCCCTTCAGCTCTCCATATCTGCTGTCATACCTCAGAGCCCCTTCAAGGTGTCTTTTTTTTGTTCAATCAGCACCGCAATCTACTGTGATATTAACTAAACAGGCCACCTGTCATAAAGACATCACACACAAACACACGGACAGTCCTATACGGGTTCAGGCTTTGCATTCAGGTGTGATGCTGGTTATGGTTGCTGCTAAACTACACAACTTAAGAAAAATGCTCTGGTTTGATCAGATGTATAGCTCTGAAAAAAAACAAAACAACTTGACTTTTATTTTTCTACCACAGTGGTGTACAGCTGCATTCAAGTTCATGTGGTTCCCCGTTTTAGTCTGTTCTCTTTTCTAATTTGTTGGTGCTTTGGATCTTTACCATCCCGTCTCGGTTTCCTCCTGGTGTCGGCTCTGGTTTTGATATGTACCTAATACCAATGTGAAACTGTCTCTTTCCTTCTCATTTTGGACTCAGTGGAAGTGTGATGTTTACATGTACAGATTTTTGAGATTCTCTTTCTTTTTTGTTGTTCTCTTTTTTTGTTGGTTTTTAATTTAAATGATTTCCCTTCTTCTGTTCGGGCACTGCTTAATTTAATCTGATTCCTTTATAGTGAAGGGAAATGGGACTTGCAGCAATTTTCCATGCATTTACAGTAAGACAAGACAGTGTTTTCGTCTGGGAGACCCCCATCACTGACCCCAATCACTTTCTTTAACTGCTGTCAACAGATACACAAATTGAAGGCGGCTTGTTGTAAATGAATCTTTTCCTCTGACCATTAGGGACAACATGGCCGTCTGTTCCTTAATGATTAAAAGCCATTATCACACCCTTCGTCGGGTGCAGACATCAAGTATTAGAGTACAAGAACAGCAGAGTGAAAACCTCAGGTAAATGATTGCTGTTTTATATTTGAAATAGAAGTCCTATCAGCAACCCATTTCCCACTTTAATACCATAATATATACAAAATCTTTTTTTTATATTTATTGCGTTATATATATATAACAGTGAATACTTTTTCAGTACATGTGGCTAAATATTTTAATTCTTTAGAAAAGTGTTGATACATACATATGTGAAGAAACTGAAAGATTGAATGAAAATGAAAAAAAAAATCAATTTTGTTGTTTAATGCAAACAGCATGGGTGGCTCCTAACATATCACTTTCATTAATGAAAACCAATGATTTGAGATGAAGCTTTCTCCAGTGGGATGTCATTGACATGACATTGTGACTTTTTTTTCCTCCCAAGCTGTACGTCACAAAGCTAAATATACTAATAAAACAGTGTGCTATATATCAAACCCGGCAGATGTATTTCTTTTCTTCTCCCTAAGGAAAAATTATTTTGAATCAGCATCAATGTATTTGTGTTTTTGATTGGGTCAGGTTTTGCTAACTAACTAAAACTGCTTACATTGGTCCTCATGATAAAAATGGCTTCATAAAAGAACTTAAATCAGTCTCGTTGATCCCCCATGGTCCATGACAATATTCAAATACTAAGCCATTTCCTCTTGTGCGTAGTTGTCAGTTTATTTAGGCATCTTGATTTTTGTTATTATGGCCCACTTGGAAGGCTTTTAATGCTTGTGTGGTTCAGAAATGCAGGGATAGGGTTAAGCACTGGCCTAGTTCAGAGGGGTTGAGTAAATTATATTGCATGTTATAAAAGGTATTATTTACTATTACTGGTCTGATATGAGGGTTGAGTAATTTATATTGCATATTGTAAAAGATAATTATTTACTTCACAATGTAATACAGTATATGTGATGTACATGATTTCAACCTTTGACGTCGCCTCACTCAGTCAATATTAAAGACATCAAGGTTACATTTTCACAGAATGTTCTTTACCTTATGCAGGATGATTTTATGTAGAAAACAGTAAAAAAACAAAAAGACTTTAGCTGGGTTTTCACAGCCAGGGTCACATAGCCTCTATATCCCACCGTTTTAAGCCAATATACATTAGAGTCATATGGGAGTCGCATCAAGGTGGCAATTTTACAGTGTGTTTACTTTACAAAGACCTTTTAATGACGGTCAGATCAGATTCGACCTAAATATATTTACACACAAATCACGGACGCGGGAAACAAGGTATCACGTGGACAGGACACGCGCTCAAACGTTGGCTACTGGTTCCTGTGCATACAGACAGTCTGCCTGCTTTCCTGTCATACTAAAGTTTTTAGAACAGCTCTATTCTAGAATCTCCTTCCTTTCATTTTATGTGACGCCAAAATATATTTAGTGAGTGATTTATATACATCTCCAGTAGCCTAACCTCGTTAGCCTATACTTTCTAAATGACAGAAACCTAGAAGTCATTCAGAAAATATAGCCCAGAATACACAAAATAAACAAAAAATCATTAAAGAGCTAAACTGCCCAAAATAATATTAAACAGCAATACAAACGCCAGTGTGACGTCACGGGCGGGCCCCCAATATTTGCTGTGCACCACTGGTAGTAACTATAATTAGCGCAACAATTTAAAACAATAAGGCTACATGTAAACCGGAAGTCCCCGTCGTGTATAATAATAAACGTGTGCATATGTGTGTGTGTGTGTGTGTGTGCGTGCGTGTGTTAAAAACTAATAGGCCAGAATAGTATTATTTTCAACTGCTTATTCGCACGATACGCACGCAAATGAGCGTGCTGAAATTTTCATAAACGCAAACATTTGCGGAGATGTAAGAATTGTATGATTAGAGGCGAATCTAAAAATAAACAAATAATGGTTTCCAGCTCCAAGTGTGCGCTTGCCTAGTGAACAGATGGTCGCTCTACAGGAGAAACGGCTCGCCCGCAGCCAGGTTCACATACTGCGAAGCGTTTTGCTCCGGAGCGGATAGATAGAGGCGCCGAATGCTGCGGCGCACTGCACCGGTCATTACGAGAGAAGGGGGGCGTCACGGACGATTAGAGCCTAAATTTAGATGAAAAGAGGATGTTCTTTAAGGTACTTCAACCACAACATCCTCTCCTCGTCTTAATGTCTCATTGAACTATCCAACATGTCTTTTCTGCATACCTATGTGATCCATCCCGAAACAGAACCGGTTTCACCTGATCCTCCGCTATGATCGCGGCAAGCGCGTTTGCTCAACAAAGGGAATCCCGGTATAGAATCGCTACGGAAGGTCGGTCACCATCGGTGAGGGACCCACACGCCTCTTTTATTTTCCATTTCAACCGTTTCGCTTGGTGGACAGCTGCCAACTATTCTGGCTACCCTGGAGTCCGCAGAAAGCGAGGGCTGGGATGGAGAAGTGTTGTCGCAGCTGTATGCCCTGTCTGAAGACGCTGTGGGACTGCATATGGCCCGAGTTTTACTATCCGAGCATGGCTCGACCGGCCGAGATCCGCACGGTTTCGGGTGATATCCGGGTCCCGGCTCCGAAGAGGAAACCGGCGCAGCTGTACGCGGCGCTCTTCGACTTCGAAGCCCGCAGTGAGGAAGAGCTGACGGTGAAAGAAGGGGACAAACTGTCTGTCATAGAAAAGAGGGGAGATTATGTATTTGCCAAGAAGCTGACGGGGTCACTGGAGTCCGGACTGGTCCCTGCTAATTATGTGGCCCTAGTACAGGATGAATTCGCTAACTACAGGTAAGTCCTGTCAGTCAATAGATTTATTTAGGCTAGTTTCTAATGATAGCCTATGTCTATTTTTAATTAGAATATTCATTATATGTGAACTTGGACCAGTCATAAGGGTTGATATTTTTTGAAATTGAGATTTATACATCATCTGAAAGCTGAATAAATAAGCTTTCCATTGATGTATATTTGGCTGAGATACAACTATTTGAAAACTTGAAAACTGAGGGTGCAAAAAAAAAATCAAAATATTGAGAAAATCGCCGTTAAAGTTGTCGAAATTAATTGTTCTTAGCAATGCATATTACTAATCAAAAATAAAGTTTTGATATATTTACGGTAAGAAATGTACAAAATATCTTCATGGAACATGGTTTTCACTTAATATCCTAATGATTTTTGGCATAAAATAAAAGTCGATCATTTTGACCCATACAATATATTGTTGGCTATTGCTTTGCTACAAATACACCTGTGCTACTTATGACTGGTTTTGTGGTCCAGGGTCACATATTTTATGGAAAATGATCACTCTTTTCTACGTAGTGCACATAATATGAATAAAAAGCTTGACGTAAGGCTACATACTTGCACTTTTGTTTTTCTATAATAGTTCAACTTTCCATTGACTTTTATTGTTTTCATACTGGACTAATATTTTATACCGCTACAGTACACAAACATTGCATTTTAGATTTTCATTAGCATTTTATTTCGTTTTTTTATATAGGCAACCATAAAATATTTCAGGTTTAAGATCCCCCCAATTATAGGGTGTAAATATGGTGGTTTTGGGGAGTCAGAACCACCTAATTAACACTTGAACCTAATTAACTTTGAACAAAAGATTGCTGTCTCATACAAATAGGTTTCAATCTGCTACATCCATAAACTGTAGGTACTGTCATTATGTGTGACTTTATTATATATTTAGTTATCTTTAATATATCTCCAAAACCCGTTTATTAAAGTCAATTGACTAGTGGCCCTAAAGGTTGCACATGACAAACCCTGACAGACTGTATTTTGAAAATTACCTTTAAATTTAGATCGAATGATTTTGCAGACATTAAAAATGTGTTAAAAATGTGAATTTTTAAATAAATAGATCCTTAAAGCCATTGTATAATTCACACTGTAACAATAAGGTCAATAGGTCAAAACCTGACCTTACTGTTTTGAAATCACAGAAGCAGTGTGCCTAGTTTTGGTTGTACATGAGCTCAACCAAGGAATGTTCATATACCTGCACTGTCTCATTTAATGAACAACGGGGTTTATCATTGTCCGTGTGAACAATGGGCTGTGCACGGTTTTCTTTTATTTGCGCTGTATCGTTTACTTCTGTTTGGTTGCTGTAACGGGGTCAGTCAATTGCCCTCGCCATAAAGACCTCCTAAATAGTGTTGAAAGGTAACGGGTTGTTATGTCAGAGTAGTGTGTGTTCGGCCTCTGGTGCACCTGTCACCTGCCGGAGTTTCACTGAAACTGAAGCACCATGGGATTGTGCTAAACAAGCAAGTGCACCTGCTGCACCCATATTTAACATGGCAACACTTTGCATGACGCCACAGTGTTTACTGTGCGAAGCTGAACGTGGTTAATATGGGCAAAATATGAGGTGTTTCTTTCTCTCACTGTAATAAATATCAGCAAATAAAGGAAATAAGAGTATTAATTCAAACACTGAAATAAGTGAACAGCATGTTCTAAAAGTCCAGGATATTAGACAAATTGGTTTAATATTCTTGCTGTATTAGCGTTTCTACCCAACTCATAACATATTGATTAACCATTTATATAATAAGAATATATTTTTTGGAGGAGTTTATTTAATTATACCATATTTCATGTGGAATATCTCATTATAAAATATTACTGGAAAAAAGTAATGGCAGATATAGATTTTCATACCTCAATTTCAAGCATTTTACACTACAGTTCTCATATTACTCGCATTGTTAGCTGACATAATAGCAACAGGACTAACAATAATAATGTGTCAGCAAATAATTACAATAAAATACATGTTGTTCATTCCTCACTACTTAGTAATGCAACCCAATTACTCTAATGTAAAAAAAAGACTAATTACGGTACTAAACATGCATTATTAATGATTATATTATTAATATTTTAGCTGATAGTTCAAACTTTAGTACAGAATTGTACATGCAGTAGATAGTAAATGTGCTGTGTTTGCTTTTATCTATCAACGTGGAAATATTCATATTTCAGAATAATATCATAAAGATTCATTTTATGATATTATGCCCATTTATGCACATTTCTCCTGGTTTTATTTATATTATATACACTGATATATTATCAGCATTAATTAAAGGCAAAACACTGAATATAATGAATAAATATACTTTGAAATGACTATTTTTACATATTACATTAATGAAAAAATGGAATTATTACTTATTATGTATAAAAGTAAATACTTATTTTCTTTGGATTTTGCCGGTGAAATATGACCTGGACATGGTCTTGACAGGTTCTGAAGTATTCATTCATTCAGCTGTGTTATGTGCATCTGTTTTACAGATGGTACTATGGGAATATAAACAGACAAAAGGCTGATAAACTGCTTCTGAGTTCACAGAACAAAACGGGCTCCTTCCTGGTGAGGATCAGTGAGAGCCACAGCGATGAATATACTATCTCCGGTTTGTTCCTTTGTTTCTTCTCTCGCAGACACAGTCTCCCTCTCTCTCACACTCTCTTTCATTTGAATGCCTGGAGACCTCCAGTACTTCCCTCCCGTATTCCCTTGTCTTTCTCTCAGACATCATCTTCTTTCTTTCTCATCTCCCGTTTGTCTGATCTGCATGACAACGTAGCCTCCACTTCATCCATCTTATTATTTTCTGCCAAAGATATCCACTCTTGGTTTATCTTTCATCCTTTCAGGCCAGCATCTCTCTCTCTATCTCGCTCTCTTTCCACCCCACAGCTTGTAACACCATATTGGTCTTCCATGTGCAACTGACTAAGCGTTTTTCTGTCTCCACAGAAGAGTAGCGGGTATTTTTTTAAGGTCTCAAAAACCACAAAGCCATTCAATAATTTTTGCTAATCTTGTCAAAATTGATTATACACAGCATTTCCAATTTGATAACATTCTTCTCAAGTCCTCCACTAAAGATGTTTTATTTCATATATTAAAGGGTCTCAGATATAAAATATTAATATATTCTCTCTATCTCGCTCTCTTTCCACCCCACAGCTTGTAACACCATATTGGTCTTCCATGTGCAACTGACTAAGCGTTTTTCTGTCTCCACAGAAGAGTAGCGGGTATTTTTTTAAGGTCTCAAAAACCACAAAGCCATTCAATAATTTTTGCTAATCTTGTCAAAATTGATTATACACAGCATTTCCAATTTGATAACATTCTTCTCAAGTCCTCCACTAAAGATGTTTTATTTCATATATTAAAGATATAAAATATTAATATATGTAATGATGATTATTATTATTATTATTGTAATTCAATTTATTCTCAGTCATATTTCTGAAAAGTGCATATCTACTTCTTCGTAAAACAGAAGCATTCAGATTCATTAATATCTGCCTACTCGGTTTGATTCAGTCAGAGAAACATTTTATTATCTTTATTATTATTTTATTATCTTTATATATACTGTACATTCACTGGTGCTGCTGGGACCAGATATGTCGATCTCAACAAAAAATCAGGGTTAAAAAGTGCTAAAAATACTTTTTCAAAAATATTAATGTTGGAAAATTTGATTCTCTCCTTCACAGCCAGAAGTGAAAATAGTGTCTTCCATTTCCGTATTCATCGCTCAGCGATTGGTGCTTACTTTGTATCTGACAAGATCTCTTTTGGCACTCTGGATGAGCTCATCAGATACTACCAGCAAAACTCCAGGAGTCTGGGATGCCCCTTAGACCAGCCATGTGAACAGCAAGTATGACACTCTTAATATTTAATACACACCCAAGAGCGACATCTTAATTTTAGACATCACTTTTTGTCTTCATGAAACTAAGGCTCATAAATAGGCATCCTTTTTATGGGTATCAGTTCTGCATTAGAGATTCAATTAGCGTTAAAGAGAAGCGGTCTGTTTCTGGAGAAGTGGTCCTGGGCGATGGCACCAGTCGGCCTGCAGTGGTTACATTGGTTTTCTAATCTCCTTCATCTTAATCAGCAGCTCTGCAGTTTTTTCTTGCGCTCTGTCTGGTTTGGCCTCATGGTTATCGTCCGCTCTTCTCTCCTCCTTTTCAAGGAGGACACCGAGGCTGAATAACAGAGTGTGTGTGGACACACAGCTCCACTGAGAAACACTAACACAAGCCCATTCACTCACTTGCTTCCTAAAAGGATAGCACAGCAACCTTGTTGCACCTTTTACTTTATGCATTTCGTGTTTTAACTTGAACAACTTTACCATCTTTCAGATTTTTATTTTGTGACTAGGAGCACTTGATATGAACACTTGATTATGTTTTATTGTTATTTCTTTGAAAACCTGTTAAGGTCTTTGAATCATTTCATGCTGAATTTACCAAGAAGGACATATTCCTGGATCAACTTGCTTTATTGTTTTTGTTTTATTGTATTATATTATATATTTCTATCAAATAACAGTAGGCAACCCCTAATCAAATCAGGAAAAATAGTATAGGTAGGGTAAGATCTGCCTCCCCCTCACAACTGTGAAAGAAAGCCCCTGCAGTGGTACATTGTTGCTGGTGGTTTTATGAGTTAATTTATTAGTTATCATAATTAATTAAGTTACTATTTAATAAATCCACGAATTAGAGGATCTGAATTCTGTCTATTTTTTTAAAAATGTAGGTCTTTATATCATTTATTGAAATAAATGCCAAAGTAAACTGTGAAAATTTATATTATTTATATTTATAGAAACATTTATATTTACAACGTAAAAAAAAAAACTTAAATAATAATTAAAAATGATATTTTTTAAAAACGAGTGTCTTTGAATGTTCTGAATAAATATATCGGATGACAGCAGGAATAAGTTAACCCCTGGGTCTTCTATTTTAGGTTACAGCTGAGCAGTAAATGCACTTTGTTACCCTAAATAAGAATGTTCATAAAGCCCTAATCCTAAAATCTGGTTGGCTGAATGCTGTTCCAGAACCAACAAGGATCCAGGAACAGGTCTTATTTGTCAAAATCACGGTTACTATCATTTCATACGGTTTCAGTGTGAAAGATATGAAGAAATCTTTGATTGTCAGTTGCTGGTCCCAGATTTCAAGCTGCACAAGCTGACGTGTAATGTAGCGCATTTTATTTAAACAATAAATTGTCATACTATTCAAATATTTCGAAGCTTATTTTTTCCCTTCTAAACACACCAAAACCAAAGCTGTCTTCTCAATGATTTGTTTTCCCAGTAAACTTTCCTAGAAATGCAAATTCTCTCTTTTCTTCTCTCCTGCTGTTAACAAAATATAACCACTCTCTAGGCTCTCTGGTTTTATGATCAATACTGCACGCTGTGTTTAGAGCAACATGTCATATATAGAAGAGATTCTTGGAAGAGCTCTTTTGTAACCTTTGTTGCGTGTGTGTCCACGTGCAGAGGGAGCTGTTTGACATGGAGCCATGGGAGCGGCCGAGGGAGGAGTTTCAGCTACTCAACAAGCTGGGGGAGGGCCATTTTGGGGAAGTCTGGGAAGCTGTCTGGATCACAAAGAAACAGAAAGTGGCCATCAAGATGCTCAAACAAGGTGAGGCACCACACAAGATGAAATGTTTTGAAGTGAAACAACAACCCAACCAATAACAGAAAACATCACCCAATTCATTCAATCAAGTCTCTTATAATGATGTTTGTGCTGTTGTAATTATCACCAAAAATTATGTCACTTCCTGGAGGTTATTACTGCTGAAAGGAACTGGCTTTTATAGAGGGATATTACAAAAGACTGAAAGTCAAATTAAGGACATACAGAAATCCTAAAGAATTTGTATTTTTAGAAGGTGGAAAATTATAAATTTTTAAGCATTTCGAATTAGAGAAAGAAAATAACAGGGTCGTAAAATATAGAGACTACTACAGAAGCATAAAAACAAATAGCTTAGTGGAAATAAAGGTAACTTTTTAATAAAAAAATTAAAACAAAAAAAATGTGGAGAAACGTAAAAAGCCTTGATAATGAAGAAGGCTTGGTTAGTTTTAATTACCTAAGGCCAGTTTATTAAAGGCATTTTAACCACATGAGTGCCTAAGAATTTTGGGATTATTTTCTATATAAACACTAATTAGTATATTTCCTAATAAATTGCCCGTAATTTCATTAGAAATTAGTGCATAGAACCTGCACAAAATGCAACATAAGTGAAGGACAGAACTGAATTCACATTCACTTATTTCTGATATTCTGATAAAGGAAAATGATTTCCATTTTGAAATGAATATTTTAATATATTAAGGATATATGTTACCCTGGACCACAAAACCAGTCTTAAGTCACGGGGGTATATTTGTAGCAATAGCCAAAAATACATTGTATGGGTCAAAATTATCGATTTTTCTTTTATGCCAAAAATCATTAGGATATTAAGTAAAGATCATGTTCCATGAAGATATTTTGTAAATTTCCTACCGTAAATATATCAAAACTTAATTTTTGATTAGTAATATGCATTGCTAAGAACTTAATTTGGACAACTTTAAAGGCAATTTTCTCAATATTTAGATTTTTTTTGCACCCTCAGATTCCAGATTTTCATATAGTTGTATCTCGGCCAAATATTATCATATCCTAACAAACCATACATCAATGGAAAGCTTATTTATTCAGCTTTCATATGGTGCATAAGTCTCAATTTTAAAAAAATTTACCCTTATGACTGGTTTTGTGGTCCAGGGTCACATATAAGTAATATATATGAGGATGTGAAAATGTTTTGCCAAAACACCAATAAGCCTAAATTGAAACTGATTATGTAATTCAGCACTGAAGGAATGAAACAGCACTCAAAAAGATTTTTATGTTGTTTGCTCTTTGAAATTTATAATTTTGTACTTATCCACAAATGATTTTCATATCAATTTTTGGCCTTTGTTTCAAAGTCAATTGGATCTGCATCATAACTTGAGAAAAAGACCACTGTCACATGCACAAATGTTTTTTCATAAAAATATCAGTGGATAAAGATCTTGATCTGTTGTTCTCTCACTCTGCCCTGTAGAGGACACAAAATTGGATGAGTTTGTGAAGGAGGTCCATGCACTGAAAAACCTGCACCATCCTAAACTGATTGAGCTGTTGGCTCTCTGCACACGAGGGGAGCCGGTCTACATTGTCACTGAGCTCATGACTAAAGGAAGTCTCAAATCGTATCTTGCTTGTAAGTGTCACTGCACTCTTTTTCCTTGTTCACGTAGTGCTTGTATACTACAGAATAGCGTAGTATTATATAATATTGCACCAGATCTGGTCTGGGTATTTCATACATTACATTTTGTTTTCTTATCAGACAATCACGTCCGCACTGACAAACATCAATGGCTTTATGTGACTCCAGTGTTTTATGGTTACAGTTCAAATGTACATGAAGTCATCATTTCCTTCAGTCTGTGAAGCAATTTCTTAACATAAATATGGCTTGTTGTTTCCCACTTGAACACATAAAAGTGTTTAATTTTCATCTCAGTGAATTAATACGTCACTTCTTGAACTGAAATGATATTTTGAGCATAATGCTTTGACTGAAAAGTTGAATTGAAAATTGTTACCTTCCCCTTCTGCTTTGACGACCAAAGCTGCATGAAATCCACAGTCCAGATCATTGTGTTCTCCAGTATGATTTGAGATAATCCAAAGATTTTGAGCTCCAGTGGAAGAACATCTGACCATCTGTACAAAGAATCACATGATCAGTGTCATTAATGTATTAGTAATACTTGTTTTGTTTACAGACCTAAAAATAATGCGGAATCTGAAATAATTTGAACTCATTTTTCTTTCTTATACTCTAAATCAATTTACCAGATTTCAATTCAGATTAGTTTATTTTCAGATTTCAATTATGCTTTGAAGCCCACATTTTTAGTTTGGTCTCAGACATTTGGCATTTGGACACTTTTGTTTCACTGATGTTCCCAATGAGCAACTCTTTCCATCTCTTTTTTCTCATCTCTTCCTGTAGCACCGGAGGGTCAGGTGTTGACCTCTGCTCACCTGATCTACATGGCTGGTCAGATAGCAGAAGGAATGGCGTATCTGGAAGATCGACACATTGTCCACAGAGACCTTGCAGCTCGAAACATCCTGGTTGGAGAAGACCTGGTGTGTAAAGTGGCTGATTTCGGCTTGGCTCGCATCATTAAGGTAATAATGGCTGGATGTCAAAGAAGCCCCTGGAAATCTGCAAATAAATTGAATCTTAGTGTGTCATTTTTGTGTTTGTGTGTAGGATAGTGTGTATACCGCTAGTAGAAACACCAAGATTCCTGTGCGGTGGACGGCTCCAGAAGCTGCTCTCTACCAGCGGTTCTCAGTCAAATCTGACGTCTGGTCCTTTGGAGTGCTGCTGTATGAGATAATGTCACGTGGAAAGATGCCATATGATGGTATGGGTCTCTTTCTCATATACACTACCATTTTTTTTTTAAAGAAGTCTGTTATGCTCCTTAAGGCTGCAGTTAATCAAAAATACAGTAAAATAGTAATACTGTGAAATACTATTGCAATTTAAAATAACTATTTTCTATTTGAATGTATTTTCAAATGTAATTTATTCCTGTGATGCCAAAGCTGAATTTTCCGTATCATTACTCTAGTCTTCAGTGCCACATGCTCCTTCAGAAATCATTCTAATATGCTGATCTGCAGTGCAAGAAACATTTTTTTATTAATATGAGTGTTGAAAACAGTTGTGCCGCTTATTATTTTTGCAGAAAGAACAGCATTTGAAATAGAAATATTTTGTAGTACTAAAAATGCCTTTACTTTCACTTTTGATCAATTTAAAGCATCCTTGCTGAATAAAATCATCCATTTATTAAAAAAAGACCCCAAACCTTTGAGCAGTAGAGTATATATCTCATATGAATGTGCCCACAGGGAAGAATAATAAGGAGGTGTTGGAGATCCTGTCATCGGGTTACAGGTTACCGTGTCCAAATCACTGCCCCCCAAACATCTACCGTATTATGTTGGAATGCTGGCACGCGGAGGCTTCCAAACGGCCCTCGTTTCATGCCCTTCACAGTCAGCTGGAAAATATCTACTCCAGAATCTACTTCAAAACTATTGAGGTGTAGAAGAGGTGGACTGAAACAGAAGATTCTGTGGGACAGAACGGAGAATGAAGAAAAGATTTGCATGGACAAAAGTGCACATACCATAGACTCTCTTTTTGATTGCTTATATTAATTAAGTTATGTGCAATAATAAATGCTTGTTTATGGATTTTAAAGAGGATAAAAGATTCATTGAGAGTGGAGGAGAGAAACATGCATCTCCTTAATCTGACAGGGCCAGATTATCTGTAGCTCGTCATAGCGAATCTTGATCATGATTGGATCAAGATGCCAAGCACTGTTATTTACTGTCATAATATCCGTCTTTTAGACTGCACTTAGTGTATTTTGTGCTAGAGTTGATCTGGCCAGTTCAGTTTCAGTAGTAATAGGAACAGGAGATTATTTGGTCTGATGTTTTCAGGTCAGAGTTTATGTTTACAAAAGATTCACCTGCCAGTATGGACAGGTGTGGAGACGGTGAAAACTACGGCCATTTTAAGTTCGAACTGTTGAGTGTCTTTAGCCTATGTGAAGGCAGGCTGCACAAATAACTGTACCAGGTACACAGTTTTGAAATTAACACTGTGTTTAACACAGGAGCCATATGACAAAACTACCTGGGTAGGTGTCCTCATGATCGGTTTCGTAGAAATCACATCCATTTCAGAAGTCAATTGTCTTCCAATGAATTATACAAGATGAATTCTTAAGATAACTTGTAAATAAAATATTTTTTCAATATATATGTTTCTGCAGTTTCTTTATCATTTGTTTGCCGATTTATCATAATGTAACCTGACTTTAAGTTTGACCGGAAGCATGCTGCTAGTCTGTAAAGCAATTAACCTCAAATAATAAAGTATGCCTGTTTAGTCTACTGAGCTTGTGTCATTGTCGTCCACAGGCGTGGTTCAAATGCGGAAGGTTTCACTCTAATGTCAGTTCCCTAAAACAGTCTCATATGGGAATCCGCTAGCAGGTGTCTCTCGGGGACAGTTTTATCTCATGGGGGAATGTTTGAGGAAAACTTGCCCATGTCTTAAGACATTATGGGACAGAATATACGGACCCTCACCGACCGACGGAGAAAACAGCGTGAAAACTGACAGCGACTGTACCGGCGATGGGCTCGGTAATATGGAATCTGACCGTTACGGACAACCGGCGAGCGCGCCGCTGCCACCTCGGAAGACAGCCGCTTCACTTTATACGGCTCTGTGGGACTTTGAGGCTCGCGACGGCCAGGAGTTGTCGTTCAAAGCTGGTGATATGTTAGAGATTGTCAGCAGTTCCGGTGACTGGTGGAGTGCGAAGAAAATCGACTCACAAGGGCGCGCGGCCACCGGTTTTGTACCGTTCAATTATCTGGCGCGTGCGGAGTCCGTGGAATCTCAACCGTGAGTGTCCAAGCTATTTCTGAAAAGTAACGTTGTATGTAGGCTATATTAAATAATTTCAATAATTTATCTATAAAAACAATTTAGTTTACCCAAGACTGTGATTTTAATCCTGTTGGATATCCACCACATTCAGTAATCTGGGAAGCAATTAAATGTGTATGCATCTTGACATTTCACTTTTGTACTAGGTGTCACGTACAAAAGATTTAAAGGGATAGTTCACTTCTCTCTAGGGGTCTCAAGCACCTAGCAGACCTCTTAGTTTATCTCTTCATGCTTCAACTACATGTCATCTCACACCCCAGAACGCTTGAGTTTTCATAATACCACATGTTATTCTTGTCCAAACCACACAATTTGGTTTGGAATTCATTCAGAAACACTTTGGATTTTTCTTCTCTCTCTCTCTCTCTCTCTCTCTCTCTCTCTCTCTCTCTATCTCTCTCTCTCTCGTTGTGGGACACATAGAAAAATGTTTTAAGGCAGTACCATTCCTAAATGCGGTCCAAAGACTTCAAGGTTCAAAAAGGATGCAATAGTAGGCCCACTAAAAACATAAAAACACTGTTTTATGCATGCTATACCAAATCTTCTGAAACTCTGGATAAAGAAAAGACCAATAATTTTGTTGTTGTCTTATAATGTACCCGTCCAGGGAATTGATAAAAAAGCCAGTTCACACACCCAAGTGAATACAGGTGCATCTCAATAAATTAATACATGAGTTTCACAATTTGAGTTGAATTACTGAAATAAATGAACTTTTCCACGACATTCTAATTTATTGAGATGCACCTGTAAAAGCACCAGCCTCAAATACCCGGATTAGCGGTGTGTTATTCGGCATTGTTAATGATGATGGTTGTTTTTGGGGAACAACACCCTTGGAATGTCTTAACTGACCATGACCAATCAGAATCAAGTACTCCAGAGAGCAGTGTAATATAGGGATGGGCGATACCACTTATTTTGTCTTCGATATGATACCGATATTTTTCAAGGCAGTATCGTTGATATCGATACCGATTCGATACTTCTGAACTAAACTTCAATTATGAAATTTATTAAATTATTAAATTACTAAGAGTAAAATGGGTAATGATAAGCACTTAACTTTATGTTTAAAACGCATTTTA